AAAAAAAAAGATTACCTATAGAAAAGGGAACAAACCTAGAGAGCACAAACTTGTGAGTTACAAATAGAAGGGCTCTGGGGTGTTACTTAAAGGTGTACTGGAGGAGAGGGTGGAGGAAAGTAGCTTAGATAAAATTCTCTGTACACCCTAGGCAGTTTTTCCTACCCAGGGGTCGGATGGCACAATCTGAGGACTGAGGAGCTCACTCCAAGGGCCGGCTCACCCCAGGGCTGAACATGGCTCTCGCTCCAGGGCTGAACACAGCTCGCCCTGGGGCCAGAACGGCTTACTCTAGGGGCCAGACAACACACCTTAGGGGCTGGATGGCACACTCCCCCACCAAATTCCCCCCCAAGTCTGGACTTCACACCTCACCGAAGACCATGTGGCCAGGGACAGTGTCCCCAATTCCAACACCACCACCCTTACCCCCCTCTCCAGTAAGTGGTCATACTGTAATTTGAAGTAGGTGTCACTGCCCTCCCCCTTTATAAATGGAGAAGGGAACCTGAGAGTGAACACATACACACACACCCCCAGTTTAAACAGTTCTTGGCAGCGGCAGTCAGCAGATCAAAAGATGTGCATTTAGGATATCTGCCGTCTTGGACATGCTGTCACTGTTAAGTGTCCTCAAGTCGTAGGTAGCTCACAGTGACTCATCAATCCAGTGTGTTGGTGACCTTCCTCTCTGGCCTGCCCAAGGAAACCCTAACCTGTTACTGCATCTCCTGCTGCCACCATCTTGGCTCCAAGAATTCTCCCCAGAACAAGTCCACTCTTTGGAGGTGTGGCGGCTCCCCTGCACCAGCTGGGGTGGGGACGGTGCCTACTGTCTATCCCAGGTGAGGGGATCCCTGGGGTCCGGCGGTGGGAGCCTCGTGGAGCTGTAGGGGTGGTGCGCGCTCAGCAGCAAGGAGCTGGGAGCCACGGGACTCACCCATTGCTCCCTGGGTATCCTTGATCTCCTGCTGTTGGGCCTCAATCCGCACCGAAGACCAGTCATCAGCTGTTTAACTGTTCAATCATGGCCCTCCTCTATGTGGTCTGCTGCTCCCGCAGCTCGCCACGCTGTTTCTGCTGCTTCTGCCATCTTGGAATTTAAAATTATTATTTTGTATATGTACCTTCAAATCGGATCTGACTGGTACAGGAAGAGATTGTCCTTCTCCAGCATAGCATCTGGTGGATTTGAACTGTGCACCTCTGGGCTTGCAGCTTCTTGCCACTAGGCCACCAGAGCTCCCTTTGGAGAAGAGTCTTGAATGTACAATGGATATAGGAGAACAAATAGGTCTGTCTTAGAGAGGGTGAAACCAAGTTTATTCTTAGAAGCAAGGAGTTGAAGCTCAATCTCACATACTTTGGGCATGTGGTTAGGAGGGACCAGTCCTTGGAGGACAACATCATGCTTGGAAGAATGGAGGGAGACAGAGCAGGAGAGGAAGACCCTGGATGAGATGGATTGATACGATAATTGGGATAATGGAATTAGGTACATCAGCGTCAGCAAGACTGGCTGAGGATAGGGCAGGCTTCAGAGCTGTTGTACTCAGGGTGGTTATGAGTCACAGGTGACTCAACAGCACATATAACAACAAAGAAAAAGTTGAAGAGTTGGAGTTAATTTAATCTAAAAACCATTGTAAATCAAATGATATTAACAAGAAAATGAACAGAGCCCACAGAATGAGGGAAATATTTGCAGGTCATGTTTCTGCAGAGTGTCGTATCTTGAACATAAGAAAATCCAGTTTAAAAATGGGCAAAGTATCTGAATAGCTGTTTCTCTGAAGAAGATACACAAATAGTCACTAGACCCATGACAACAGGTCGTTAATCATTACTTTTTGACATAGAAAAACTACCACTCTCCAACCACCAGGATGAGTAGAATATCAAAGTAGGACAGTTAAAGGTGTTACTGAGGAAAGGAGAAATTTGAACTCTCCAGCATTGCTCTTGGGAACCTCAATAGTGCACCATTTTGAAAAACAAATTTGATGGGTTTTCTGTGTTCATTGGAGTAGTTCTTCTCCAAGTGAATTGCAAACTTGTGTCCTGTGTCCAAAAACTTGTATATGCATGTTTGTAGCCGTGACATTCATAAGAGCCTACAGGCAAAACCAGCCTCTGTCTATTAACTGATGGCTGGATTGTTATTATTTATTCAGTTGCAGAAGGAGTCAATTTCTGATACCTGCTGTAGCGGATTTACCTCAGAAACATTTGTTGGTTTATGAAAGAGGCATATATGGGGCACGCTGTGTGATTGTATTTAAATAAACCATGTAAGCCAGCTGAGTAAATCCACAGAGACTGAAGCACGATGGGTAAGATGACTGGGATTGGCAGTGGCACTGATTGCAGTGGGCAGCATGAGGAGTGTTGTGATCTGGACACAGTTGCTCCTGGCCTCGCCTGGTCTGCCAACTGGAAGCTGGCAGTGGTCCCAGAATGAGGGAAGTAGTGCCTGGATGGAGAGGATGGATTGATTGCTCAGCAGACCTCAGCACCCCTTCCCTGGTTGGTCTTGTGTTAGTTGACCCTGCTGGGAGCCCTTTGTGCCTGCCTGTGGGCAGAGGCCATGGCAGCTGCATGTGTAATCACAGCCATCCCTCCTTGTGACATGAGGGTTCAAATGTGCTGATAGTAACAGAGAAACGCTAACTCCAGCTACACTTTGTCCACAGACACCCGGACACGCGGGTCCTGGTAGCCTGGCTGTGCAAGAACCTGGACCTTCTGTGTGAGCAGGTGGAAGCCCCAAGCCTGTCTAGTGACATCACCAGGGCCATGCTTGCTGGTGAGTACAGCCTAAGTTGTGGGAGATGAGGATGAGGGCCCTGTGTTGTTGTCCTGCCTGCACTGATCTGTTGGGTAATATGATGAGGCAGCACTAGTGAGTGCTAATTAATCACTTTTCTCCTTGTGAGACAGTCGTCTTTCCTCCTTGCTCTGAGTCCTCTGCCCTGCCTCCGCTGGTGTCCAGGACATGAACTAGTCAAGCAGAGTGGCATGCTCCACATGGGTGCCACGAGGGCGTGAACCAGCGAGGCACTGGAGTTGCATGTTCCACACATTCCACGAGGGCGTGAATCAATGAGGTGCCACAGCAAGGTTCACACAGGTGCCAAAAGGCACATGCATTTACTGTGCAGGGGTGGATACCCTGTGGGATTTTTTTTCCTTTGCAAAATATATGTTCTTTAAAACATTTCTCCTAAAATCTTAGTAGTGGTGGCTGCTTATGACACATGTTGCTTTTGTGATCTGGACCTGGATAATGTTGTCATCTCTGATAATCTTTGAATTTAAAAAAAATTTATAGATGAAAAGTAGAGTGAAATAGTAAATTAACTAGTAAATA